TAAAAAAATGAAAATCAATATTTTAGTTGTGAAATATAGAATGTCACTTTTTTGTCCCCTTTTTGTGCTCAACATGTGATATATCACCTCTCTAACCTACTCACATTGGTAAATTGTATACAATATAAGGAAATTTTAGCATTTGGTAGAAAAACATAAAAATTAATATTTTCAGTACTGTTTCCATGACAACTATTTTATAAGCATGGATGGCACCAGTACATGTATGTTACCAATTTCTAAAGTTTCAGCCAATTTGAAGTTCAACTTTTGAAGTTATAGATGAAATCATTTGCTCAATTTCTGACAACAGATTCTATGATGTCATACTTTACCCATAATCCTTTGCTCGAAAATCAAGATGGCTGACTACGTAATACTGATGAAAAGTGGAATATCTAGAGAATGAAAACTGATAAAAAAAAGTGTAAATTGCATTCTCCTACATTTGTGGAGCTTTTTCTTTAGGGGTCATTATGTTGTTTGGATTGAGGTCCCCTTTAAAGTAATTTATTTTTTGATATCTATGTTAACTATATGAATAAAGAAGCCCTATCACAATAAATGTCTGTGGAATATATCTTGACCTGTTTTTACCTTGCCTGTATCATCAAAGATGTAAGGGAAAGGTATATTAAGGAAAAATGTCTGTCGTTGTGGTTAATAATTGTTAATGTGTGCACAATAACTTCACTAATTCTATTCCAAACTTTATTAAACTTGGTCACCTAATTCATCAGTATAAAATCTTCTCGTAGTTCAAACAACAGATGTCCTGTATGAAAATATCATGCACAAATTGAGAAAATATTTTGACCCTTTCAGCTTGGCTGATCACTGGTGAAACACATTCAAAGGTCACTGATTCCAGTGGGAATATGCATTGTTCTATGTATTCAATGATGTAAATCATTTATCTTGTAATCAATATCATTAATAATGTACATGCATCTCCCAAATCCCATGGGAATACTAGGCTGGGTTTCAATCAACTTGTGGAGAGGATTGTTGTGCAGTCTAATACACATTTGCAAACATACCAATAAAATACACAAACTATGTTAACAGAAAACAAGATATCAGATAATTGATAAAAGCACTCCTATGAATATCCCTTTGGGTGCCAAACTATTGATCAAGATCTGAAGCTGATAACAAATTATGTCTGTTTAGTCATATCCACATTTTGAGAGGAAAATTACACTCAAAAATATGTATTCTGCATTTATATAAATTTCGAAAATCAAAATTCACAGGAATTTATCTTGGCTATAGGATGCAATTATGGAGCTTTTATTTAAAACATTTCAAAGACATAAAGTGCTTAGGAATATCCCCACTTTGTACTTGCTTAAAATACAAAAGTCACATAATAAAATGAAAGTTTTTATAGTAGTGATTCCCATCTTAATACATTTATTCGAGTTGACTGCACACTTTTTACTTCTTGAAAATATAACACTTTTAATTCATATTTATTAAACTGACTACCATCAGTTTGTTTGATATTTGTATGATTCACCTTTCAGCTAGCTACAATATAGCTCCTGTTTTATTTTATTTATTCTATACTGACTACAACGATATGAAATTCCTTTTAAGGACTACAGTTGTGATGAACTGTGCACGAGTTATTTTGTTGATAGTTTTACCCATAATTCAGTATGATTCTTCTGTTTTCAATTTATTCAGGTTAAATCAAATCAGTAATAATTTTGAACATCAATTGTACTTTCGTATTAATATTATTCAAAGTAATTCAGATATTTTAATATAAAAACAAATGCCTCTTCTCAGAAAAAAGTGCTGCATTTAGACATGTACAGAATTGTAAAACATGCAAGATAACAGAAAATCTTAGCTGGATTTTGTACAGGTATCTCTGTCAAAAATATGAAGTGCCTCATATTGTGTGTCATGACAGTATTATTTGAAAAGTAAAAGCAGGGGGTGACTATCATGTTGCACGCTCTGCTTTGTATGCAAATCAAATTTAGCCTTGAAGTATGTACCATGTATCAAAAAATAGTTGGTGTCTCTTAGAGAAGTCAACAGTACTTGCATCAATTAAGGACTTTTGGTAGAGTGCTTTCCCACTGCTGTTCCATTCCTAAAACCTGCATGCATATTCATATTGAAACAAACTGATATAAGAAAGGTCACCAGAGTTTGACTATGTTTATTTAAAAAAAAACGTTCTTTGAATTTTGTTCTCTTCGCTGCCTGCCGTCTGCTGTGTCTTTTTTGTTTATGATGCATACAAACACTGCAAGGGTTGCACATCTGCATATATTTGCATATAAATAGAATGGTATACTGACTTAGCCAATCATTTGAATTTTTAATAGGATAATATACTTGCGTGCACTCAAATGAAAACTTGGATGAAGTGATTTACATAAAGTCTGAGAACAGTGTTTCCATGCTTTATTTTCAATTGTTTTGCTTATGAAAATACAGCCTGAGGATAACACTGCATCACTTGTGAAAATAACTTCCATACCGTATATACAACACGGTGGGGCTATTGCATTCTGTCATTTTATTATTAGTCTCTGTTTTGCTGTCTTTCCAATGTGTATGTAAGTGATAACCCCATTTATGTGTACATTCAAAGCTGTTTCAGACAAGATTTCACCAATTCTATTCATACCTTGCACATACTTAATACCTACACATACAAATGTACAATCATTTCTTGATTGGGCCAAAGATGTTAACTGGCTTCCATCTTATTTGTAAAAATACACTAACATCAGTATTTTAACACTTGGTAAATTGACTGTTTGTGCACATCACTTTGATTTGTCAATTCCGCTACTGTCATGCATCTTGTACAAGTTTCATTTCAAACTTTATACGTAGACAGTACATCATGGTGAACATGCACACATACAATAATTTTATCATCCAATCAAAGATTGCACTCTGCTGACATTGTTAGCCTAGTGTTAAAAACACTAAAATTAGGTATTTAGTCTCCAGTATCCTATGTTTTTTTAACTTGCCCCTGTACTGATGTGAATATTTTATAATTCAATGCATTTAGCTAAAACTCTCATTTGATTATAATGGATGTATCTATAATGATGTATGGTTGTATTATGAAGGAATGTCATAAAATGTTGAGTCTTATTGATTAATTCCTTCATAATACTTTCTCTCATCTATATCATTGAGTGTCGCATATTTACACATTTTATCTTAGACCACAACTTTGACTGGAAAGAGTTACAAAATATTTATTTCAAATGTTAACCAGTTGTCTCCTGCCTGATGATCCCTTTTTGGACAGCC